ATCCTTATATCATCTAACAGTGAAACATTTTCGTGCTTTTGGAAAGCAGAGCGAAATAAAGGAGTGCAGATAAATGCCATCGTAAGTTGTTTTAGCGCACAGTGTGGCGAACATTACGACAAAACTTACCGCAACATCCCATGGAAAGATATGAGTTTCTAAGACAATATTTATACTTCACCCGCTAATATGCTTTCTGAAAGAAATGCGGCTATATTTTACCCATAGTGATGGGGAATTATGTAAATTTACAATTCCCGTTGGTGCAACCCATATTCTTTAACCTTCTAAATATCCAGCATATACTCAATGATGGTAGGGGTCCACGAAATAATGCATTTAAAGCATACGTGTACTTCCAGTGATCACAGAGATACCTTGTGGAACATATCCTATATAGGTTTAAAAATCATTATTCGTTTTGCCCTTGTTTTTAAAAAAAATTTGTTATTCTATATTTTTTTGTTGTTGTTTACTACCACAAACTTGAACTAACTGTTAGTATGTAACACTATAAAACTCAATGACTCTAAATTATTAGTAACAAAATAGGGGAATAAACCCTGCGTTTATCGCATATTGTTTGCTTAAATTATTATTATTTGCTGGCTGCCTCTGCACCTCTCTTTCTGTTTTCTTCTTCCTTCTCGAAGGTATTGCATTGATGCACTGCAAATGAACAGTAATGCTGCTTTCTACGTTTTTATTACTTGAGCGTTATTCAGAATGTTGTTGGCAGACACAACGAACAACGGAAGAAATTCCATTCTGAGTACTGTTTGTCATCGCAAAGTTGGTCCCTTGTATCTGTTATTACCAAAATAATGCTGTACTTACCCTCTACTATGGAGTTGTTTTTTTTTAAATATTTGAACCCTTATTAATTGACAAAATGATAATGATCACAAGGCCTGTATCCTGTATGTCGTACTCTAGCACATGTTAATCACCTCTCTTCTTACCTTCCATTAACGCAACATTTCGTAATTCCCGCATGAATTTAACTGACTATAAGTATATTATAGACCATAAATTAGACTTGAACCAGTATATTGTAATCTATTCTAACAAAGTTTCTAGAGGTTTTTTCCATTTTTCCAATTTTTGATGTCAAAAAACGGTGTTCCATTTCAAATTGTACTTGTCGAATATGATCATGCCTGTACAAACGGTATGTTAATCATGTAAATGTTTAATTTATGTGAAATATATATATATATTATTATTATTATTATCAAAATCGTAGAATAATCAAACCCTACACGAAGTAGAATTAACTAACTGTGGTACATATCTGGAAATTCACCCACAAATTAGTCATGCCGGCAAATCCAAATCGGTACTTACTGCACCAATTAATCTGGGTATCTGAAAAATTAACGAAAATATGCCGACAGTTGCTCTTCGAATCTCAATCACTCATCCTATGGTAATATTCTGTATGTTTCGTTCATCATTTTGTGTGGATTAGTTCGCAGGCATTCTGGTCCCTGACAGAAATGAATCATAAATCCACCGGTTGTTGATTATGGTAATTCATCGATCCTTCTTTACATGTTTAACTGGATACTAGCTGCTGTGGTGAACCTGTTGCAGATGATAACAATGAGAATATTATTGTCGGTAAACTGACTAACGTTTTACAAGCCATTCTCATAATTTTGTGAATAGCACACCATATCGACCACATATAACGCAACCTTCAGTCGTTACTCGAGTATTTGACAAATTCAAACAATAATGGTGCCTGATTTATATCACAAAAATTGTTTTAGCCTATGTAAAGTGTACCTAATGTCATTATTCCACTACCTCATATATATACATATATATAGCGAAAATATTCACTCAGACATCTATAAAACACGAAATAATGGAGCAGAGAACATCCTTTGTGATGATTTCCTATTGTGGCTCTACAATTATATACATCTGTTTATATACATAGAATATTCTAGAATAGTGGTCAATGAAAATATTAGTGTTTTTTAAATAATATCGATTTGTAAAGCATGATCAATGGAATTACGCTTCATTAAAGATTCTGAAATTATAACAATAATAATAAAGATATAATAGCAAATAGAATATCGCCTAAAATTGGGTATATTCCACGAAAATCGAGGACCATTCAAACCTAGATGGCCAAGGTAAGGAAAATGTCTTAACTAACTTCTTTTGGACTTACAAATTAGGCTTCTTAATGTGGATCCCAACAACCAGCCTCAGCAATATTTAGTAATCGAACTCCTAAAGCGAAATTAAGATTTGTTGATAAGCGGTAAATGACTCTAAAGGCCTGGTTAACATCAATATTGTGTTGTGTTTCAATAAGATGAGATGCAATAGGGCTACGAATAGATTTTGTTTGTCCTTTACTTAGCCACACAGGGTGATGTTAGGAAATCCCACGAGAAACTCGCCTAATTGTACGGTCTATGCAACTAGCTGGCCCTTCAGGATCAGTTAAATTGGTAGATACACGTAGAAGAGGCGGAATCAGGCAGTTTATATTTTACTCCTGGACGCAAAAGAGGAGTGGTTTAGAAGGTACAGCGTAATTTAGCAGCAAGAAATAATCTTTTTACCTCATTACTAAGGCGTTTTGTTAGTATCTCGCTGGTGTTGTCCCCGAAGAACTGAATTTTAAGAATAAAGCCTTTTTAGTTACTGTTGGTACTTTGAGCTGCTTTGATTTTAGATTCATATTCTTATCAACAAACTTTTCTGGGTAACCGTTTTCACTCAGCAACTGTTTAATATTATCAAGTTCCTCATCAAGACATTCATCCGAGCAGATTGCTCTTGCTCTGTGAAGCCAGCAATTCATCAGATAGCGTTTGTGTTTTTAGAGCATGAAGCTGAAAAAAATGAGCATACTGACCCGTTGATGTTGGTTTTCTATATACTCTTTACCTTATTGTGCCATCCTGTTTTCTGGTTACAAGGACGTCTACAAATGGAATACTAGAGTCATTTTCTTTCTCAATAGTAAAATTTATTGCAGGATGAACCTCGTTAAATTTATCCAGGATGTTCTTTGCTTTCTCCTCGTTTTTCATAATCAAAAATGTATCCTCCATGTACCGGCAATAAAATTCTAGTTCATTATAAACATCGTTCAAAGGCCTATCTTCTAGTTTCGCGAGGAAAATGTCGGCTAGAATGGGTCCTAGTGGTGACCCCATTGACATACCATCGATTTGTCTGTACAGCCAGCATTTAAATCTTTTATCCTTCCGGCAAATCCAAAAGCATCCCTTACACTGTGTTTCACCAACTCGGTATGAAGAGGCTGTAAGGGTTCCACTAACCATTTGATTACGGGATGTAATGGTTAATTTAACATATCTAATATTGGTCGAAGCGGCACACCATTTTTGCTCACTTTAGGCGATCCATATAATTTTCGTGTGAACGTTTCAGTGCGTTTAAGTGATGCATACTGAATCTGTGAGATAAAGCCTAACTTTCAGTATTCCCAATGTTTCCGTTAACTGTTTCTCTATCTTTTCAATCGGATCGAGAGAAGAGTAGTTTTTTTGGAATTTTAGATTACCATTAGAAATAGTATTCATCTTCGTTTCGTTAACATTTCTAGGTGATTCCCATGCAAAGATAGCATCCACTTGTTGAATAATGCTCTGCTTCAAATGAAAATAATCTGTATGGATATCCTGAGACATGTGAAATCTTCACTGAGGGATACCATGCCAAAAAGTCCAGCTTCTACATAAAGTGGATTATTTGTGTAGATGATGTTTTCCTCAAATTATTCCATCCTTCTCATTATAGCGAAAATTCAATACTGTTCACCTGAGGCACAAAGCTTTGCAGCCGATATGCTATGAGTGTCCCGCTGTGAAATCACATGACGCAGAAACCAGCATACCATATCTGAAGATGAGAGTTCCCATCAATTTGGACAAAACATAACGTATTTCGATCAGAAAGTATTCACAAGAAATTTACCCCGCGAAAATTTCAACCAGAGAGGCATATAAATCCAGTCAAGGGCATCTACTGACGAGGATGGCTGGGGGCAGGGGTATTAACGGTCTGCACTCCAATGGCATTTAGATAGTTCTAACTTTCAGCTCCACTCCGGAAAGACAGCTTGACAATGCAGCAACTAAGCTTTTATGTTGGGAGAGTGATCTCCGTATCCAGCCGTAGAATGGCGATGTACTATCTGCTGTACAATCAAATCCTGCTGCTGCTGCTGAGGAACTGCGGAAAGCTCCACTGTAAATCTAAGAGATTCGATGGCACCAGGTCATGCATTTTGAGGCATGAGCCTTCCTTACCCTCAAAAAGATCTATTCAGCACTTCATAGAAATTCACAGCCTTTTAAACAGTCACTGAGAGATCCTCTCTATCTCCAAGATTAGAGCTGTGTGCTTCTAATAATAAAGCTTTATTTGAAACAATATGCGAACATATGGTACAAACACTTTCAGCGTATTTAGTTCCAAAATACTATTTTTTTCATACAGGATTTACATGCAAAGTAATAATTTGATGTCTTTTCACTGCAGAATGGCACATGGTTTACCTGTAAGCAAGTTTAATCAGCGCGCAAGTTCATGTACAGGCCATCTGATGTAACTGGGTGGTTAAAATAATGATAAATCTAGGTGAAATCAAACATTTCGGTGGAATGTAACTTCGGTAGTCCAGTGATTCAGGCAGGCCACCACTCGTGTGAGGTGTTGGTAGGTAGATCCAGTATAAGAGGACCGTATAAAGGACAATCTGATGAATAAAACAGAATTCCCACCACTCAACACAAGGCACTTATATCTTTCTCAATAAACATATTCCAAGTGACACTTCGACATGAAGACGTACAAGCTGCATCGAGTGAGTCGTGTGACTAACACAAGGAGATACATTAAACAGTATAAGTCTTTCTTTCCTCAAGAAAAAATTGCCAAAAATTTATTAAAGGTTTTACTTTCTTTTCAAATTAATATTAAGTATTGGATGTTTGAAAGGCGCTTGACATAAGCGTGTTTGTTACTTTAACTTGTTGCCGCTTTGGTAGGTATGTTTGTCCTATTAAGGCATTTTCCTCCATATTATTGCCACCTTTTATCATGCATATATTTTTATAGTATATCAAGGTGACTGCTCCATAATTCTTTTAAAATGTACAGTTTACAAATATATCTCTAAAGTGAATTAAAAATTAGACATATTTTTCATGTAGAAATTTTTCTTAAGTTTTTTTTTTCAACGTCTGCAAAATAAAAAAAAATGTTTTCGGTTGATTAACGTTTGAAGAGATTATGTGCTGGGAAACGCGCTTACGTACTAGCAGCCGCCTGCGTTCCTCTGCTGACAAATATAATATCAAGCATCTTATAATTATACTGTAATTCTCTGTGGTCTGTGTTAAGCAAGAGATAGTGAATGGGTCATAATGGACCTGATTTTTTGATGGAGTTATGTGGTTTTGTTAAGTCTTCATTGGGAAATATTATTTCCGGCTGCTGTGTAAAGATCATTTCAATTGTCAGAAATAATAAAATGATGGTTTCTTAGATGTATCAGCTCTACTCTAGTATCCGAGGCATCCTTTCATATTCGGCCTACTCATCTTATGTTTAGAAATCTTAAGGCAGCAAAGAATGACAATCACTTTTTTAGAACTTGACTTGCACTGTTCTTTTCTAAAGACCAAGTCTCTAAGCATCAATTGTTGGAGTTTTTATAAGAATTAAATGTGTTAGCCTTATGAGCTTAGGGAGGATTATTTGAATATCCATAGTATTCCTGGTTAGCCAACATATTAAGTTTAAAAAACTTATTGACTGCATCCGCATACGAAAATATTTTTAAGAAACCATTATATGTAATCGCGTTCAGTAGTTTAAGGCGACCTCGGTGTAATTAATGCACTAATGCTATTTTTATTTCATTAGATTACTTCAACTCAATTTCTCAGAAATAGATTAGTTGTTAGATGGACTATAATTTTTAGTTGCTTATTTGTTAAATTTTGTACACGCATCCTCGTTGAATTTGCATAGCAAGTAAAATTTGGGATAACGTGTGTCTTCATAATTCATTCACCAATCGGACTCAATGGATTCCGAAAATGATGCAGTGAGTTCCTCAAATCTACGAACTCGAAGTACTCCACTTCTGTGGAAAGTTTTACGTTGAGACTCATTTGGTCAGTCAGTTAGTCGTCAAGTAGTTCATCATCTTGTATACGATTTAAAGAGAAATAATCCTTTTATTCCATTTACATCACCAAATATAATTACTTTTTCCATCCGTATATGTAGACAACAGGTACATGGACTATTAGGAATCTTGTTTTTAACAAAGACTATTTTCAACGAATTTATTACCAAGCTGTACACTCGTATTTATATATATTAATAATTTGCTTTGTTATATATATATATATATATATATATATATATATATATATATATATAATATCTAAGAGACTATATCCGTGAGGAAATTTTTAAAAAAGGTGTAAGTGCATATAAGACTAATGTGAATTCTGACAAAATATTTGTAATTATAATCATAGCTCAGTATTCAGTGTTAAAATAGGTTATGCAACACATTAAGTAGTTCATGAAATGTAAGGTATGTTAAGTAACGGGCTTAGTTGGCAAATTGAAATATTGCGTAATAAGGTGAGTAGTTTGCTAAAATATTGAATAAAATAATATGGTGGGACAAGTGAAATAATACCGGAAACTTCATGGCGAAAATAACAATAAGATGGAAATAGGAACTGTACTCCTTTACTACACCAAGCTCGTGAATGCTCAATACTCTCCGTTATCTTTAGAAATATGAAGTGAACATAACTGATCTTCACTTTGTGATTATTTCTCTTGTAATTAGGAATGATACACTTAAAAGCCATTTTGAGTAGAATAATTTGCTTTAATCTCCACCATTCCCTTTGTGTTCGCCTTATAAATACCCAATGCCTAGTCGAATAACGTTATACTGTTGTGGAAAAGAGCTAATATGTTACTCATTAAAGGCATGACACCAATCTATGATGTCATTGTCTGCTAATGAGTGAGCCATACTGAGGAATTTATTTGGGAGTTCTGAAGCTACACCGGTTGAGATGGAGGCTCGTCACGTATGCTGAGCCTCAGTCTTTCTTGACTAGCAGGGTTAGCTGGTATAGGATGAACTTAGAAAAGAGTTATCGGTGGTCAGACTAAAACGTGGTATCAGTCCATGAAGTCCATGACAGTTGATTTGAGTCACATAGGGAGGTGTATACTTCCTGGTTGTCGTCCTCGAGATTTTAAGAGCCAATGTATGGAGACTGTGATATTGCGCAAAATTGTTGTTAATGGTTCAGATGCATTTACTTTCTATGATACCCCGTATCTACTAAACCGTTATGTTTTTCCATGCTATTATTCTTTCTGCCTCATATCTCTGCTTATTATTTTTTGAATATCCTTTTGTCTCTTCCTCTTTTGTGTTCCAAATAGAGTGTGGCAACTTCAACTAGTGCACTTCTGCACAAAGTTCTGTTTCGAAACTTAGTCAGTCAGTGAAACTCATGTGGTTGAAAATTATTGGTAGTAGTGTATGACTTCAACTTATTCTCACGAATGCATTCGTACACTGTCACCATCTTGATTGTTATATCATACTTGTTTAGATGTTTTTTATCTGTTTTGATCTTACGACCGTGTAGTACTATTGGTTATATGATTTATACATTCTCTTCTTCTGTTGCACATCCATGTTGACTTGAACCACTAGCTGTACACTAATCTCACATCTGTTTGTTCCAATGTAACTAACTGTCAAAAGTTGAATTCCGAATGGAATTTTGTGTTATGAATTCAAATACACAAATAATATTTTAAATAATAATAATAACAGTGAAGCATTACTGATGAGACACTATTTATATCCAATAGTAATATTAATATTATCGATTGGATTTACCGATTTGTTATTAAAACATAACTTTATGTGATATTTACACTTATATAAGTTTATTTATTTTTAAATACAAGCCTTTATTGCTTTCGGATTCTAAAAGTGTAGATTTGATTTTATTAAAACAAACTTGATGCATTATGGGTACTAAGAGGTGCTCCACACAAAATCTCAGTTTGTGTGAGGGATGGGATACTACCCGGACACCTAGATCGAAGCAGGTGGTTGCCTTTAGGGACCGTCTCCCCTCAACACTGACAGTTTTTAAACGAGTGTTATCAATTATTTCTCCCAATTTGATTTGAAACCCAGTACTCTTCACCAGTCATTTTATACAGTTGGAATTCTGCCGAAAATAGAGTGGTTTTTGTTGATTTGGCTTTCTGAATTGAGTCACTGCTGATGAACCCGATCCCAAACAAGCTAATCGACCGTCCGGGGTTTAGATCACTCCGATCTACTTGACGTGTAGAGCTCCCAGCTAATCATATTATTCAGTAATATGTATATCGTCATGCTGTTTTATTCATTTTTCCTTTTCATGTTCACTTATAACATGTAGCGTCATTGCCGTTAAGTGCCATAAGTGGACATCCATTATTACTGTCTACTTGGTTTGGGTTTTAAATGCTTCAGAAACCTACCTTAAGAATCGTCACTCATAATCAGTCATTTGATATTGGATATTAACGGGCTAGATTTATTGGAACACAGTTTACATCGTGAGTAACCTCAATTCACCCATAATACCCGGACAATTTAATACGATAGTTCCACTAATATTCCAAAAACAACGGAATTTGAAAACAAAAGAGTAGGAGTTGCGCTATGTGGCGGATCGCATCAAATATAAGCTGAAGAGGGTATACAATCCTCAGGGTAATCTCAGACCGAGGCCAAGCAGTTTTTATAAATTTTTATACTTTGGATAATCAGGGCCAGAAGCCTCTGTGTACACAAAAGCTGAGGAAAATTGTCTGCTCATTAACCGTTACGTCATCTACGTTTTCCCTCTTTATGCCTTCCGGCCAAAATTGCCTATCCGATGACTCCACTTTGTTAATTATGGTAAAAGTTGATGTGTTGATCACTGGATGTCATATTGTTGCTGACTTGATTCCCTTGATAAGATTTCTTGTATGATCAGTAAACCGAATTTACTTAATCATTGTATTTGGGCAATATGGAGTAGTAATAAAGATGACAAAACCTTGAGATTATATTATAGAAGTAGGTAATATGGAGGTTCTAGTGTCTAATGGTGAGTCAGTGGCTCAGCGGTCGAATCCTCACCAACCACTCACGTGGCCCGGGGTCCGATCCTAGGCCGACATACTCCCAAACTTCACTTAGCCAGTGATATTGCTGGTAAAGAGGGAAGGTTGGGTGTGAAGCTACCACCCCGCCAAGGTAAAACATAAAAACCACTGCTACTGAAACTTCAAGACTCACGCTTAAAGTCCTATATTCCACTCGGAACGCAAAGGAATAGAATAAAAATAAATAAAAAGTGTTTAATGAAGATCTTATCGTAAAGTTTCCATTTCGTGTAACTAATAATGAGTACCATTAAAGTATACGCAAAGGAAAAACTGAGGTTTATCATTGTGGTTACATTTGATTTAAATTTCATAATCTTTCCTTCAGCGAAGTTAAACTTTAAAGACATCCAACAGGCGTGAACTCATCAGTGACCTTGGAAAACGCAGTCAGAGCAAGGTATTAAAACCAAGTAAATAACACTGTATTCATGAAAAATGTTGATTGAAACGTAAGGATATAATACAGGACATCTGTTTAGGTTAGGTTAGCGAAAGAATGCAGTTAGGGTTAGGTGGGTGTAGTCCTACTTCTACGCCTGTTAAACTTGACCTCTCCAAGCTGAGCATGTATGATGACTCTGAGTATTCAATCATCTCTGCCTCTGTAGAATTGCTTGCATCCGATGGTATCATTGTGTGAGTAATTCTTAGGCTCCGTAGCGTGTGTTTGAATACAGTGAAGGTTACCATTCACTGAATGTAGTCATCGTGAAATACGGTCTTCGGTGGCTTGGGCATTTGTTACTTATATCATCCCAGAAACTTTGGTACTGGTTGTTTTCTGGTAGCCCTGGGATTGTATGGAACAAAGGGTGATGTGGTCAGCCCATGACATGGTGCTATGGGAGCAAGGCTAACATCAGTAAGTGCATCACGACTCCCCGATTAGAGTCCGAGAAACAGTTCGAATAGATGGCTAAAAATGTTATCAGATATGAGGTAGAATTGCAATCAATAGCAAGAATGTTGCAGTTCCTTTCTTTCTTCCCTTTCTGAAAACATTATGAATATTGAGTGATCTTGACAAGTATGCTTAATTGCTCGCTTTCTCCATGGCGACCTTCATTCATTCTTTCCCTGCTCTCTTTTATATTATTGCCCATATTTTAATAAGTTTGTATTTTAAATAAAAAGGGTTAGGGTGGTTTAATTTGGGTTAAGCTAGGGGTACATCAAATTTAGGTTAAGGTTGAGTTAAGGGCCCGAATTTACTTTTGAGAGTATTTACCCATTCCGAGATGATTGGTGCGTCCGCACCTCTTGCTTCTTTAAAGATGTGCATTGCCTCCTCTCATCCGACGGAAAATGTTGTTTGATTACGAACTGATATCACTTAGAGAACGACTGGAAACCAGGAAATACACTGGACAACTGTTTCGTCCTAATCCGGGTCTCTTCAGAAGTACTCACCCATGACTTCACCTGTAGGGATTGAACCCAGAACCTTCAGGTTACAAGGCGAGCTCATTGACAAATCAGCCACTGGGACCGGATCCCTACAAACCAACACTCGGAGATTAGAAAATATTGTAAATACTAAACTGTGTTGCAGTACGTTTTATTTTTAACTTACAGTTATTGATTTTATTGTATTTTATTTGTCTTCTGTCCTCTTTTTAGCAATTCATTCCACTTGTATATTTGTATAAATTATGCTTGCCTCCGGTACTGGAACCGGAGGTAGTAGTACACCAGATTCCAATGAATTTGTTCGTGGTACAAGTCCAGAGTTTACAGATGAATTAGGCGAACTTGTCCCTGTACTTGATTCAATACATTTAGTTCCATATAAAGTAAGAATAGTTTATAATTCGTTTGATAAATTTATGTTTTCTTTTAATATCGTCAAATTCTTTATATTACATACAACCGATTCATTCCCTTGATTAGTTTGAACAAAGACAAAGAATGAATATATTTTTGTTGGATAATTAAAAAACTCGTTTCAATTTCGTAGATTCTTATCAGTTGTATACAACCTGAACTATATCGAAATATACGTTACACAAGGTCTGTCTGAAAATACTTTTATCACGCTTACGTCGAGTTATAGATAGAAGGTAGAAGCAACGTAATTCCGAAATGATGTAATTTGATGAATTATTGGGCGGTGAAAAGGGGTTAACTATTTATTGTATATTTTCAAGGATTGGTTTCGCAGTACGCACCCATTGCTGAAGAGTCCCAAACTAGGACGAAACACCTGTCCAGTACTCCCAGGTTTTCCAATGTTTCTATAATTGATGTCAGCTTATGATGAAACCCTTCAGCCTATTTATAGTATATTTAGACAAGAAGGCAGAGGGGTAGAGTTCAAATTTTGCATAGAAACGAGGATTAACCAGATACGATATAAAATCGAGTAACAAAATGAATTTATACATATTATAGGATAGAAAGCATAGAATGCCAGTCAGACCTCTATCTCGACCTCGAAAAGGCCTTCGACAGCGAAGTAATTTGGAAACTGCTTCAACACTATGCCGTATGATGCTCAAATCTTTATCAACCTCATTCAACAGCTGGCTATATGACAATGCCACGTGTCAGGTGATCCACAATAGAAAACTCAGCGAGGCGTTCGAAGTGAAGTCAGGAGTTAGACAAGACTGACTGTCTATTATCACCGATGATATTCATAATTGTGGTGGACTGGATTATGCGTCATCCTGTGCACAAGGATTGAGAAGACAGGAATACACTGTACCGATAAGAAGACCTTAGAAGATCTGAATTTCCCCTGTGGATAATTTTTGTTTGATGTCATACAAACTCAAATACTTACAGGCGAAAGGCAATAAAATGTCTGAAGAAGCAGGCAGCGAAGACAGGACTCCAAACGATGGATATAGAGAAGACGAGGGTAAGGAAGGTAATCGACAAACTGCAACAACAAACGGCACCAGTCACCATCAATGGGAGAGATTTGACAGAAGTTACTTCCTTCACTTATCTAGGAAGCACGGTTTCAACCTCAGGTAGTCGGGACGGATGAAGATAACAAGGCCAGAGTCGGAAAGGCAAGATACACCTTCACCCATCTAAAATCGGTTTGGAAATCTTCTGTACTCTACGGCATAAACAACAGGATTCGAATTTTCAACACGAATATGGAGTCAGTCAGTTCCTCTATACGGGTTAAAAACTTGGCTAGCATGTCACGAAAAGGATTTCCAACAGGCTACTGCAAACTTTTATCAACAGCTGTCACCTTCGCCGGCTGGCTCCATACTGAAGATCAAATGGCCGATTGACCAGAAGCTCTGGGAAAAAAATAACCAAGAAAATATCGTTCAATAAATATGTGGGAGAAAATGGAGATGGATAGAGCACACACTGAAGCGACCGTCGAGTGACATCGCGTGTTAGACCATCGCTGAAGTGGAATCCGAATGGGAAACGATGAGTGGGTCGTCCAAGGGTGTTGCGGAGATCGTTTGGGGAGGAGGAGATGAGAGATTATGGGTAATCGGGGGCCCATCTGAAGAGGAAAGCAGGAAATAAAACAAAGTGATGTATTGTTGAAGCCATATGTCCCACTCGGAACCCAAGGGAACAATAATAATGATAGAAAGATCAAGAGATTGGGAGTGAAAAGTATAAGTAAAATTACAACATAGACAAACAACTAATTAACTTTGGAAGCTGAATATTGAGTTCAACTCAGTAAGCGAAAAATAAAAATTAAGGCAAAGTGTTATGGAACAGAACCGAATACAAGAAACATACATGAACAAATCAGTTGCAGTTACCAGGGTATTGAAAAATTCATCACTCCATTTTTCCGTGTACAGAATTTGGGTGGAGGTCTTTTGCTAGCCCCATGGCTTTCGCGAAACGAAGTAAGCCGGAGGTTTTTCTAAGTGTATTGACTATTTTGAAAGACTGACTAATCTCCACTCTATGTCAAAAGAGGTTGAATCTGACGTGAATGATTTATCTCTTCTGAACTGTTTGGTCAAAAAAGACAACCAGACCAATATCTTCAGAAAGCCTACACATTTGGGCAAATACCTATCTAACTGATATAATTCAGTCTGCACCGAAGAAAGGACTAGATACATCGCACTAGTTACTAGTGTCCAATCAAAATACCTACCTTGATTACAATTCGGTAGATTCCATTCACCACCATAGTAACTTTGGTTATGATTATATGATTAACAGAACCAAACGTCTAGTTACTGAGGTGGAAGAAGAGACGAACAAGAAATTGAAATTGGTTCAGTCTACTCTTGAATGAAATCATTACCCAAAAACCTTTTTTTTAAAAGATTATCTGAAAAATGAAGATTAGGGTACATCAAAACTTACTTTTAAGAATTCGGTTAGTACTGTGATGATTCCTTGTAGCAAAGAAATTTTGGATGAAATAAAGCGAATCATTAGTGATCAAGGTATAAGAGTGTATTCTTGTGCAACGAAACCTTACACTCATCACTAGTGAAGGTTAAGGATAAAGTAGAAGAAGACAAACAACAGTACCATGTATACCAAATAAATTGTGGCTATTGTGATTTTGCTGTATATGTAGGAAAAACCTGCAGACAGGTAAACGTAGGAGTAAAAGAGTATAAACATTACCTAAAGGTTAATTGATGGATGGTGATTAGCAGTGGAATCCAGGATGCGCATTTCGTCCTATTTGGGACTCGTCAACTAGCTGGATGTGCCTGCATTCTCCAGTGAGTGATGATGTTCCCACCGAGGCTCGAACCCAGTGCCAAGGCGTTATCCACTAGACCACTTGGGCCACGAGAGCCACTGCCTCTTGTGCAACGAGTCATATTAATTATTTAATTCAATTTTAGAACCTAAAGGTAGTTCTAAAGACCTTTGGAAATTTGACGATGCTAGAAAACTAATCAGCGATTGCACTATACTCGATAGAAAGGCGACACAAGATCAAATTTGATAGGACTAAGGTTATACAGAAAGGTTTAGTTCATATAGAGAAAGACTGACTGCATAAGCCCTACACATGTGGGTGAATTCCAAAAGTTTGAATAGACGTGAGGATGTGATGTTAGGTGATGCATGGCAAGACTTGATCAGAAAAATACAATAAGTATGTATTACTAGACCTAATCTGTTATTCTGAATACATGTATATTCTTACTAAATTGGTCACTAATGATACACAATTGTTCTCCGATGAACACATACACATACACGCACTATTGTTTATCGCATATTCATTTATCCATGACCATGAACTTTAGTCGAACATGATCACTAAAGTTTGTTACAAAAGTACACATTGTTTACAATATATACCTAAACAGACATTGGTAATAATAAAATAAGTCAGTGATCAAATTTTGATCTCAGTTCATGGAATTTTGTTTATTTTGTTTTGTTAACTATTCATCACTCACATGATTGGACAAAGATTTTAAAGATAGCAAACATATACCTTTCTTGCATTAATGTTGATTAATATCCCTGGAGAAGTTCGGATCAGTTTGATGAACGAAACGTTAGGATTATTTATTTCAATTTCTCTGAGATTTTATACATAATTTTTACATATGGTGTTTATAACTCGTAATTGATGTAAGTAGATAAACTACTCAGTTTCCAAGAGTTTGTTTAATGCTTAGAAAACCATTAAAAACCACCACAAAGTACTGGACAAGCTGTTTCGTTCTAATTTCAGTCTCGTCGGCAGGACGCACCCACTGGGTTTCGAATCCAGGAGCGTCTAATCAGTACGAAGTCCTGACCACTAGGATTCATCCTTATGTGTATTTGCGTGTGTGTGTGTGAACTGTTAGGTATAGATTTGGATAGTATTTCTAACAGCAGAACACAGTCGTATATATTTAGCAAAATTCAAAAATCCTTACTCTGAAACTTCAATTCGTCAGAAAAAAATGGAATTCGTATTCTGCTTCTTTAGTTTCGGCTTCTCCTCTTTGAAAAAGCTTAATCCATCGCTTCTCTATTCAAGATTCTTGCAGAAGGCATTGTACATGCACACACGCGATATACTACTTAGAAGTTTGTATCAGTAGTGGCACACGTCATATTTATAATGAATGTGTCATTGTGGATTCAGAGGGTGAGGCATCAATCAGATTTGACCTTGACTTATTCCCCTGAAGTTTAGTCGCTCAATAATGAATATTTGCAGTTAAGCTATCCATTTGAGAAGTTCGGGTTCAATTTCCGGTTGACACAGTCCTAAACATTGACTGATGTACTAGCTGATGGATGGTAAACTTGGAAAAAAGACGGAAATTTGGGTATATGAGGGAAGCAATTCCGCCTCGCAGGAATAACATCATCGCTACTGAAACTCCAAAGTTCAAAATTTGAAGTTTTATTTCCACTCTGATTGCTAGGAATGTGATTTATTGGTTTCTTTTTTCAACCAGCAGATCTCGGATGTAACTCCTACTGCATTTAAGAGTTCTACCTCATCAACTGTGTACTATGATGATAAACTGTCAGACACTAAATAGGCCATCACTGCTTAGTACATAAAAGACAGTTTTGCAGAGGCAAACTGCATGTCCAACGTTCCCTCTTTCTTCCAGGTCTATTTACTATCGACTAGTAAACTGGAAGAGTTAAGCATAGGTCAATAGGGAATCTAACCCAAGACCAGCTGCGTGACTGGTGACGAACAACATCCTTCTATTGAGCTACTGACTCAAACATAATTATATATAGCAGATGTAGTTTTCCAAGTCTGCTCACGAATGGATATCAGTTAGAGAACCATTGAAAACCATCAGAGAGTACTGAATTAGCCGTTTCGTCCTGATTTAAGGCTTACTCTTCAGTG